GTGTTCTAGTGAGGCATTTCCACTGACGAGCCAGGGAGGATTCCTGGAAGAGAATTCAGAGGCTACAAGAGACTCCAAGAATGGCTGGCCCATCCTTCTGTCCACCTTGTTTCCTGTTTCTGCCCAAATACCAACCCAAAGCTGCCTAGCCAAACTCAATATTTGGTCGTAGGGAGCCCCATGTCAGGTTGACAAAAAAAATATCCAAAAACAAAAACAAACAAACAAAACAACAAAAACCCGAGAGGGAGAGAAGAGGGAGCCGGAGAATGTGGAGCCCAAACGAGACTCGAGATAAAGCAATTAGCTGATCAATACGGGTGAAATTGAGTAATCCAGCCGATCAATACACGGGCAGGCTCGCAGGCTCTCAGCCCGCCGCCATCTTCTCGCCTCCCTCTTAGGAATTCACCAGGCAGTCACCTCCACCCCGGGTTTGCTCTCTGGGTTCCTGAAGTATCGCCCCTGCCTCCAACCTGTGTCAGCTGCCATCCTGTCCAGACGTCTCCACCACGGCTCCTCACTGACTGTCCTCTTTCCTTCCAAGGGTCCCATTCTCAACAGCCTCAGGGGTTGATATCCTCCATGTCCCTCACTTGGTACACCGGGGGCTAGAGCCCAGGCTGCCTGGGAGTGAGAACTAGTTCTGTCATACCCCTGTTTCACCCTGCCCTCCACACAAAGCCCTGCCCACATGCTAGTGCTGGCTGAACTGGACTCAGGGCAGGCAGGGAGCTGGGAGGAAGCCTTGGGCTCCACTCATCCAAAGGTGCTTGTAGGGGCTGCAGGGCAGGTGCCACCACTGAAGGCCACTCACCCATCTGGGGGCTTCTTCCAGGGTGTAGGCGGGGACTGGAGGGCTGTGGTTTCTGAGTTGGGATGAGGACATGGGAACTTCCCCCGATTGTGGGAATGGCAGAGCTCCTACTGTCTAAGCACTGAAAAGTCTCTGGCAACCTGGAGTCCCAGCTTCGAGTGTGTGTGTGTGTGTGTGTGTGTGTGTGTGTGTGTGTGTGTGTGTGTACAGGTGCAAAGAAAGGCCGTGGAGCTAGGCAGGCCTGGAATAGGAGCTAGAACCCTGCCCCTCCACATTTACCTGCCTGCCTCTACTGCTAGACAGGAAGTACCTGGGATAGACCATTGTTACCCAGTATTTCAGTGCAGTCTGTTGGCTGTCTGCCAAGCTGTCCCCCACCAGACTGTGAGCCCTTAGGAAGCCAGCATCAGCATACTCAGGGCCAGCAGGTACCAGCCAAAGTTGGCTTGGAGGCTGGCTGACACTCTCTGGTCCCAAGGTCACCCAGGGAAGTGCAAACAAACTTCCCATAGGAAAACCTGAGGTCTATTTAAAGAGTATAATAGCCCACCCCTTCCCAGCCACAGCTTGTCAGTAGAGCAGGGCGATGCCTGGACCTTGGGCAATTCCCTAAACCTCCCTATCCTTTGTTTTCTTCATTAGCACAGTGGGGATAACAATAGATCTCTTCTGCAGCCAAAGATTCCAGATTAGCCTCTGCTCGGACTCTGGTTCTCCTTCTTGGGAGAGAGGCCAGCAAGTTCCCGCAGCACTGGCTGGCCTTCAGCTCTCAAGACTCAGGTTGTGAGGTCTGGACACACACGGTCATGGTGGCTGGAGGCGGAGTAGGCTTAGAGAGCTGACAGAACGGAGATGGGGACAGCTGCCTGCTGCTGTTTGTCCTAGACCTTCACCTCTGTGGTTTGGGTGGCATCCCCTGGGTTTCTGGTGTGCGCCCCGTTGACTGCTGACCTTATTCCCAGTCACTGGAGTTGGGGTGAGAGAGCCAGGGGTGGGGCTTCTGCCTCCTTTCAACATGGGACCATCGGTGTCCCCTGGGCTGGGCAGAGGTGGGTGGGGGAAGGTGTAAGATTGCCTGCGCCCCTACCTTCTGGGAATGCTTTGCTTCCTACAGTCCCGCAGCCTCTGGAGCCTATGTGACTGGAGAGAAACCTCCACAGGTGTTGGCCATTCGGCCGGCAGCCTTCTTGCTAAGGTCTCAGCTCCAGCCTGGAACACCTGGCTGGCCTGACATCTGAAGAAAACTCAAGGCTGGCTTGCCCAGAGCATTCTGAGTCTCTGGTTGTTGGCTGATGGGAGGAAGGAAGTGTCTGTAATGGGCAAAGTGTGACAGCATGAGTTCTGGAGCCAGGAAGCCTTGGCTTGGGTTCCTACCTTCACTGGCTCTAGGCGTCACTGTGAGTGTGTGCGTGCACGCGCTTCACAGTATCCGTGCACATTTCTGTCTGTAAAATACTGGTACTACCACCTCCTCTTGAGCAGTGTTAAGCCTCAAGCACAGCGCTCCACAGAGGAAGGGACTGAGGCCAGGGCTGCTCCATCTGAATGCTGAGTGCTTCTGCATCGCTTACATCGTAACCCTACTATCAACACAGGGAATGGAGGTCCAGGGAGCTCAACACTGCCCAAGGTATCCGAGCTGTTAGGATGGCAGGGGCAGGAGAGTTCTTGTTCCTAGGAGGGGAGGGAGGCCAGAACAGAGGGCTGGAGATCCGGGGTGGGGTCTCCGCACCTGCCACTTTTCTCAGAGGGGCAAAAGGCAGATGCATGAAGATGAGCCAGGCACATGGGTGTGGACCAGAAAATCAGAGGAAGACAAAGCAAATGGCCAGCGCAGAACTGCAGGTGCCAGGGCGGGCACACTCAGTTCACACTTTTCTTGCTCATACTCTTGTTAGACAAATGAAAATCCAGGGGTGGGAAGTTGGCTCAATCAGCAAATTGTAGTCTATGCAGCATGAGGACCTACGTTTGGATCCCCAGACTCATATAAAAGTGCCTGCAATCCAGTACCGGGGAGGTGGAGACAGGAATTGCTGGCCTGATGGTCGAGTCAACTGGTTCAGTGAGGCCATACCTCAAAATATAATTTGGAGAGTGACAAAAAGTAAATCTGACCCTGACCTCTGGCACACACACACACACACACACACACACACACACACACACACACACACACTATAAGGGAGGAAGGGAAGAGGGGGAGGGGCCATCAATCCTGCCATGTCCCATAAAGGTGGAAACGTACAGGTGCAGGAGTCAGAAAACAGGCAGAGGAGCAAATGAGGGGCAGGGCCTGGAGGTAGAAGGCTATGCTACAACAGAAGCCACAAGGCTGAACTTTCATAGGGGCCTTACTCTAAGGCCTGGACATGACACGCCCGCACCCTCTCTGCCTCATCCCTTTGCCTACTTCTGAGTCCTATCCACATCTGTGTCTTCTACCCTGGTAGTGGAAAAACGTCAGTTCATCAAGCATGTTGTCACGTGTCCTTAAGTCCCGGTGCTGGGGGGTGGAGACGATAGATAGAGGAGTTACTAACCATGTGCTGGATCTTGGCTTGCTGACTGTTCATAAAGAATCCAGACAAGCAACCAGGCCGGCAGTGACGGTGGAAAAGGCCGAGTAGTAAGCATGAGCTGCAATAGATAGAGAGGTGTTCCTCATCTGCTTGTGAAACCTGAAACGCTGGAGAAGACACTGGCCAGAAGCAGGGCCAGAAGGTGCTCAGGCGGGGTGGGCCTGGGCAGAGCAGCTAGCACCCAGAAACTTCTCTGAGGCCCAGGGCTCCCTCTGTAGCATTGGGACAAAGCTGACTTGGGGACTAAGATGGCACAGGCAGCCCTAGCGGAAAGGTCAGTGTGCGCTAAGTGCTTCACTGGCTCTGCCGCTTAAGCGTTTGGCTGTGGTTGTGCACCAGTGAGGCCAGGTTAGGACCTTCCAAATCACCCTAAAGACTATCAGGGACTCCACCTAAGGCTTTCTCCTGGCTGCCCTGCCCTGCCCTGAGGGGCTGAGGCCTTGTTCCTCTGCTCAGTGGCCAGCCTGCCCCTCATGTTCTTCTCTCCTGCTCACCGTCACTCCCATCTCTTCATTTGGAATTCCAGTACTTGCCATCCCATCCTAACCACTGAACTGTCAGCTCAGGCTAGCCAAGCCTGCTGCCTCGGATTCGGATCTCTGTGCAGTTTGCTTCGAAAGCTAATCTCTCTGCTGTCAGCAGCAGGGGAGAGAGCAGCTGCCCACTCCTCCCCAGCCTCCTGACCTATCAGCCGGTCACCTTTTGCTCCTGCCTGAGCATGCTGCATTGGCAGGGCGGCTCCTCAGGCCAAGGAGCTCCACACCGGCAGACTTAGACACATAATAAACACCGAGGCTCACCATTGCCAGTAGAATCAAGCTCTCTGGAAGATTCTCAGACTCACCCTTGTGTTTGCCTTTTCACCCATACTTTCTTAGAACTCAACGTCACCTTCCACCCTTTAAGTAAAACTTAACATTTGACCCCTCTCTGTCCCCACGGGCAAAATGAGGTTGCCTGTCTGCGTCATTTTCCTTGATAGGTTATATGGCATTCAGAAGTCAAAATTCCCTTCTCCAATTCTTGTCCTCAGCAGGGAATTACGAAGTTTCCCTAAGTACTGGCTTGCCACACAATTAAAAAAATCCTAAGAAAACATAATCACAAACCCATGTTTATTTTATAATTCACACACTGCCAAGTCCATCATTTTGGAGTGATTTTTAACTCAATCGTTTGTTATTTATACTCAAACTGTCCAGCTGCCATTTACTATTTAAGCCCAGATCATTTTCACCATCCCACAGAAACTAAGCCACTAGCAGCCACATTCTTCTTCTTTGGCAAGGACTACAACGTTCGGTCTACAGACTGTCTGGCTGACATTTCCCACAGGCAACCACGTGGCTAAAGGAACCCTCACAACAACTACAATCAGTGTGCAGGAAATCCTCCCGATTCACCGTCCTTGCTTCATTCAGTACCTTTTATTCACTCACTCAAGGAATCAAACAAGCTTCAGAACTGTCCAGAAACCTACCCTCACTCTGCTGGCCCCTGCAGGGAACTGCAGAGTGGGGTGAACTAGCAGGAGGCCTCAGACTTTAGGCACAGTGTGCAAGGAACAATAAAATCAACACTCAGCAAACATTTCAATACCCTTTGTTTTTAAATTTAACTTTAATTTTTGAGGTAAAATACTTTTTTTTCTTTCGACTTCCATAACAAAATACAGAGCTATCAGATACCCCTGGAAAAAATATGTATATTATACATATATTTCTATAACATTACATCATATATATAATATATATGCAAAAATTTGAAGACTTTAGAAAGCAGAACATCTAAAAGGCACTGCACAATGGTGTTCGGGTTCCTTATAACTTATGTACATATACACATCTTATTCTGCTTACACAGATGTCTAGTGAAGTCACCTTCACAAGTGAATGTCTCATTCACAAATCCCTGCATCACAAGTTTATAATTCAAAGAACGCCTAAATATCTTGAAACAAATTAATACATAACTTTTCCCAAGAAGGAACTAATTGGAACAGTTCTTTGAAGACTGAAGTTTTCTATAGAGCCACATAAAAACATACACCTCACTATTGTTTATACAAGAAAAAGCACAAACATAATTATGGAATAAATAAAAAACAAGGGACAAACAGCTAAATGTACCCACTTGGCAGTGGAATATAACTTTTTTTTTTTTTTTTTTTTAATGCTTCTGGAAGTTCCTTGGCCTATGGGTCACTAGGGTTCCCTGTGTTACTGAGCTGGGTTTAATGCAATGCAGCCTGACACCTAGGGGAGATGGACTCTATCTGTCTCTATTTTATTTCAGAACAAAAGGTGAGCTCAGCAAGGCTGATGCCCCTGAGAATTTGCTACTTTTTCTACAGCTAAAAAAGCAAACTGTTTAAATGAACAAGCTCTTGATTAGTGGAATTTCAATAGATTTACACCTATAAAGTTTTACACATTTGGCACAACAAAATTCAGAAGAAAAAAAGTGAGGGAGAGGAAAGCAGGTCCAGCTTTTAAGCCCCCTTTCACCAACAGTAGGTAGGACTATGAGTGATGTGTTCACAGAAGGCAACCACCTTGTTTCACGCCAGGCTGGAGGCAGGAACTGCCAGGAGGGGGCTTGGGAGAGAATACAATTTTCATTCCTTTACCCCAGGAAGTATCAATGATTGCTTTATTTCCTGGTCTACTTCTGAGCAAGCCCAAGTTCTGCTCTGTAGACAGACCCTTCCCCAGATCCAAACTCCAACTGTGTGCAGTACCAATCAACCAACACATTACTGGTGGGATGGTGATCAAAGGAAACAACATAGTTTCATAAAGTCCAAAAGCATTTTTCATGGAGTTCAACATTTCTGCATGTTTTTTCAAGTGTAAAAGCCATGACTTTATTCAAACGGAAGCAGCATCTAGGGATTAATTCTGGCACTTGGGTTTTAGGGGGTTATGAGTATGCATCATGGATTTTCCTCTTCTCATTTTAAAGGCCCCGTGTTTCTATTCCTGAGTTCACACCGACACTTGTGGCCGGCCCCTCTAGCAGACACTGGTGGCCAGCTGGCCTCCCTGGTTTGATGGGCAACACCAAGCAGAGAGCCTTCCTCTAGCTGCTGGGCTTGCTTTAGAGTCAGAGGTAAGTCAGGGTAAGAGAAGGGAACTGATCAGACACAGCCACCGAGGGCAGCAGGAGTGGTGAGTCCTTTGTGGTCCAACCAAAGCCTGGGTCACCAGAGGCCACTCAGTCCCTTTCCTGGGGAAAGACAGTCCCTTATGTATGGAACCTGGACCAAGTGACAGAACGCTCATCAAGAAATAGCCATGATGGCCTCAAGTCATCCCAAGCCAGCTAGTGTCTCCTGAGCTTCTTTTGTGCATGCATTTTAGTTAAAGAAAAACCAAATACCCTACCATCAAAAACAGCACTCAAGTGTTACTCAGTACAAGTTTCAACTAGGCTAAAGTGGTGGAGTCAGAACCACGGACATCCAATGCCACGCCTCCCTCAGCAGACATGGAGCCATTTCTTCTCTACTCCTATAGTATTTCAGGTAAAATCACTATCTTCCCATTCCTTAGACACTGCTGACTGGAATTTCCCACAAAGAGGTGACTCCTGTCTGTGAACTCGATGTTGTGAATAGTCCACTGACCACAATCAATCTGGGCGAATGGGGATCACAAGGGTGACGAGATCCCCTCAGGGCAGGCACCAGCTCTTTCCCCCACACCAGGCCTTTTGGCATCTAGTAACTTTTGGTTAACAGGCGTCTGGTCACCACCTTCCTACCTTTTCCTTCAGTTTCAACACTTGCTCCCAGCTACTCTGTGCTTACATCTTTCGTTCCTGCCCTTCACTACCCCCCAGCCTGGTAACATCAGAGGGAAGAACCATCTATCAGCTAGGAATCAACTATGCCTCAACATTCCTGGGTTATCTGAACAGTGGCCATGCCCTTTACAGGTTTATGCTGACAGACCCGTATCATCTTAAAGCATGTTCATAGTTAAGGCTTGACTTAAGAAACAGTAAGACAACCAGACACAACAGAAAAACATCTTCAACGGCGCTATTCTGCTCTCCATAAAACTTGCTCAGTCACACTTGGTATGGTTTCCCAAACCGACAATGGAAAAAGAAAAACGAAGACCATTTCTGTCATTTGTTTTGTTTTTAAAGGCATTGGGTTACTTCCTCCTGCCCTTTCTTCCCTGATCAAGAGTTTACAACTCCTCATGGCTTTGTAACAGGTGAAGTAGGTGACAGTTCAAGGAGCATGCAGCAGGGCTTCCTTCCTCCCACCTCAGCTCTGAAGCTGAGGGGCCAGGTGGCCCTGCCCATTATAACTGGCAGCACACTCAAAGTGTCTCGAAACATTTTCTAAAAGGGGAAAACAGGCTGTGTGTGTGTGTGTGTGTGTGTGTGTGTGTGTGTGTGTGTGTGTGTGAGAGAGAGAGAGAGAGAGAGAGAGAGAGAGAGAGAGAGAGAGAGAGAGAGAGAGAGACTGCATGTGAGTGTGTATGTGTGGGAGAGGGCATGTGTGTGTGTGCTCCAGCAAGAGGGAAGGGGAGAGTAGAAAAATGTTCCATACTCCAGTAAGACTGAAATTATCTTTTTTCTCTCCTGAAATAAATATTTCAGATTAACATGCTTAGTATTGTTGCTTACCACCCAATCTTCTTCCCTAGTATGTGCTTTCTATATGCATAAATACAATAGGAAGCACTATGGATCCTGAACTGTAACGGGACTACAAAGTGGGCCCTTCTGGAGCGTGTCTGGCAGCACGAGTCTTAAACAGGCTCCTTTCCCCACAGTTCAATACCCTCCCTACATCCTACTCACCAAGAAAAAGTGTGTCTATACCCCACTTAATTTACAACACAAGATACTCGTCCCATCCCCAGCAGAAAAGTACAAGTCCATGCCCAGAATTATCAAACCAGCTTAACCCCGCCTCCCACCCCAGAATCTTGCTACATAAATACGTGTATCTGATTGTAACACCAACAGCTTGCCTTCCACTGTGGTTTTAAGCATCAGCAGCAGCAGTGGCTGCTGCGGCCAGGCCCTGGGGTCCTGCCCCATTCCAGAGGAACTTGCCGGTCTTGCTCAGCTCCCGGGCCTCAGGGTCGTCATTCCACCGCCTCTTCAAGCGAAGCTTGGGGGGCATCAGGGCATCTTCTTTCTTCTCAGGTGCACTGGGCTCCTTGCCAGACCTGTCCTCGCTGTCTTCAGTGGCCTCTGGGGGCTCATCACTGGGGGTGCTGACAGATACAGAGGGCCAGGTGGGCGAGGGGTGGGCAAACACTGTGCCTTTCCCCTCCTCCATGGTCCTGGTCTGCACGGTGCTCGCTCCGTGGGAGTGCTCCTCCTTTTCTTGGGTGGACTTCCTGAGGCTCTCGGGATCCTTTTCAGAGATGGGCTCTACCTTCACGCGAGAGGGAACGGGTGCACTGGTCGGTGCAGCCCCGTGCGTGGGCTCCTCACTGTTCTCTGCCCTCTCTCGGTTCTTCCGTCCAGCTGGGGGGGGCTGCAGCTTGATAGAGAACTGGGACGACTCCTCAGGGTGCATGTGGCACTGCAGCGGCGGGACCATGAGCCCTGGGTAGCGGGGGAAAGTCCGGGGACTCAGATGGTAATTGAACACAGAACAGGCTTGGGAATGAAGGTAGTGTTTCATTTCGTCTGGGTTGAAGGAGAAGCAGCTGCTGCTGGTGAAGGGACTCAGGCCTGGTGAGGGACTGTAGGAGAACATGGTGGGAGTCAGGGACAGGGCTGGCGAAATGGGTACATTTAGGACACCGCCGCGGCCAGGGACCGGAGAGAGAGCGAAGGGACTGTGGGGGTCAGGGTACATTGCTGGCCGAGTGAAGAGAGGAAGCATGACGTCAGGCTTGCGTTTCTGGTGGCCAATCCCTCCTCCACTAAGAGCATTTCGAGAGGGCAAGAAATCCATGCTGCGGTGCCAGTCAGAGGCCGAGCCATCTTCTAGGTCCGAAGGCTCCACCTTTCTGTCGGTGGTACCGCCTGACTCGGGGCCAGAAGCACTCAGGGTGCCAGCAGAGAACCGCCCCGGCTGCACATCGCCAGGAGGAGAATGCGTGTCTAGAGGTGGGAAATGGAACCGGGAAGAGGCCGTCGGCACTGGTGGTGCACTCTGGGGAACCACACCTGTGACGGAAGAAAGGAAAAAGGTCTGCGCTGGCCACCTGCTCACTCACTACCATCACTTCTACTTACACTAGCTAAGTACACAATGTTAAGTGACAACAGGAAACAAGCCTTCTACTTAGTCTGGATCTTTTTTAAAACTACTGCTTAGGCTGGGTATGGTGGCTCAGGCTTGTGATCCCAGCACTACGGAGGCCGAGGGAGGAGGCATGAGCTTTTAAAGGCAGCCTTTCTCCATTCAGTCTAGCTTCCATGCTCCTCTGGCCACTTACCTGACTGTCCAGGTGGTCCTCCTTCCTACCTGCAATGTCACTCAGTATTTCAGTGAAAACTATATCCCAGCATTTCAGGGCTTACGAGTTAGCAGGTGCCCACTACACACTAGCTGGATGAATGAATGGATACAGAACCTCTTCCTTGCAACTCTATTGTGTGTACAGACCCTGTTTCAATTTTCAGCTTTGTAAGTAAGGTTTTTCTCACCATCCTAATTCTGGCTGTATTTATAAAGCAAGCAAACCCAGCAACAACACAGCCAAACAAAACACATGCATGCGATTACACTGCTAACCCAGACTCTACTCACACAAACGGACAGGACAAGGCTCTAATTTAGTGAAATAGATGGATGAGGAAAGACAGTTTTTATTAAGATCAGTTTTTATGGTTTATCTTTATCATTTTTGATAGACAACCATTATCTCAGAGATTCTTTCAGTCTTCCTATATCTATAGTCTAACAGATCCTATATGATACCTATTTCTGTTGTTCTCAAATAGTGAAGAGAAGGCTGGACCTACTATTTCCTCTCCCAAACCTGACTGCTGGCAGGTGTGGTGGCTCATGTTCACAATACCAGTACTGGGGAGGCCAAGGCAAGAAAATGACTGTGCCTTGAGGCTAGGTGAGCTAAGAAAACCCAAGTTCAACTGCTAAATTTCAAACTCTAAGAAGAAACTACCATTGCATCATATCGACTTGAGAAACTCATAAATTCAATTTCTCCTAAAAGCTAAGGGAGGTACCAGTAGCTGTCATCATGAGTGTCCAAAGAGTTCTTTATACATGAAGGATAGATAAAAGGAAAGAAGGGGGTTAGAAAAAAGGGGTGTGGTAATCAAAGTCTGGAGAGAAATCAGGGCACAAAACATAGTGTCTGAACTGTTCCAATTCTGTATAACTCTAGAGCAGGCCACTGTGTGGGAGACGATGGCTTTCTTGGTGCTTATGGCTGAGTGACACCTGCCAGAACAGCATTTACCAACAAACGTTCAACAGAAAAGTCTTTCTAGAGGCCCTGTTTTAAAGGTCCCTGAATTGAGATAATTATTAAGAGTAATAAATAGGAAAACCAGATACATGACCTTGCATATGACTTGAGTAGAGCCAAGATATATCCAGGTCAATGGATCGCTTTAGTTTATTACAGCAACTAAGAGTTTATTATTTTAAATTTTTTGACTCTTGATTAATCTTATCTAAAGGCTGTAAAAATGGTTCAGTGGTTACAGCACCTGCTGCTCTTGTAGAAGACCTGAGTTTGGTTCCCAGCTCCCACAGGGGAGCTCACAACCATCTGTAACTCCAGTTCCAGGAGATCCAAACCCCTCTTTTTGTCTCCATAGGTACTGGACACACAGGGTGCACATACATACATACAAATAGGCAACACACACACACACACACACAATATTTAAAAGTTATTAGTCAAAAGTGAAAAACCATTTGTTTATAATCTGAAATGTAGAATATAAGCTATAACAGAATATGAATGTGTTGTATATGTAGACTATGAGGATAACATGAAGAGGAAATGGAAGCCCCATTTCCTATGCAAGTTAGAAATGCTTGCTTACGTCAAGACAGTATAGTTTCCATTGTAATAGTCTATTTTGGTCTTTGTAACATACTAAGGCACACTGCATACCTGTAAGGAGTTATCTCCACATGGGACAGAGGAAGGTAAGACTAGGGCAATGCATGGAAAGTGACTGCTGATTCCCCCTCCTTTGTGTGTTGTAAGTTGAGGTGTCAAACCAAGGGTTCACTTTGGCAAGGAGGCAAGCAAACAATCCATCCCACTACTAAAAAAGTGTCAATATGATTACTTGAGAGAAGAGCACCTCCCGGCAGCCACATGGAACAGCCAGACAACCTGAGCTCAGTTCTCATGTCTTCTACCTTGTAACTGGTGTAAACACGCTGGAGCTCTTGCTCCCTTTGAAAACAATGCAAACAGTAAGTTCTTTGCCTGGGTTCAAACCCTAAGCCTAGGTATGTGTTTCTAAGAAAATTACCTTCTGAAAAAAAAAAAGAAAAAAAAGGAAAAAAAAAAAGAAAATTACCTTCTGGCCCAGTTTTCCTAAGACCTATCCTACTGTTAGAGAAATAATTAGCATTTGTGAGGCTTTTGGAATAGTACCTATGCATAGCAAGTCACATGTTATTAGAAGAAATTGTGTTCATTTCACTATACAGTCCTAGCTAGCTTAGAACTTGCTAAGTAACCCAGGCTGGCTTCAAACTAACAGAGATCCACTTGCCCCTGCCTTCCAAATGCTTGGTTTATCAGCATGAGCTACTATGCCCTGCTTAATTTTAATTGTTTTTTTTTTAATCAAAATTAACACTGTTTACATATGGGCCATATTATATTATTAGAGTAACACTGAATTTCCTGGGTGCGGTCATGCCATTGCAGTTATAGAAAAGAACATCCTTATTCCTAGGAGGAAAGCCATGGCACCTGCATGTTAATCTCTAGATGCAAAAAGTGTCTGCAAATAGAGATAAAGTACACATGGCAATGATGTTAACTGCACACGTGGCAATGATATTAACTACAGTGAATTGGGGGAAGGTATGTGAGTGCTTTCTTTTGAATTCAATTCTTTGTTAGGTTTCAAGTGTTCCAAAAGACACATTAAAAACCAGGGTGGTGACAGTGGCAGGGAGGCAAATTTGAGACAGGTTTAGCCTGCCCTGTCTCTACCTACTGAGAGTTAACTCTTTTTTTTTTTTTTTTTTCAAGACAGGGTTTCTCTGTGTAGCTCTGTACACCAGGCTGGCCTGGAACTCACAAGATCTGCCTGCCTCTGTCTCCCCAGCACTGGGATCAAAGGAGTGCATCACCACATCCCAGCTGAGAGTTAGCCACTTTAACCAGTAATTCTCTATCTTTCTAATGTTTCTTAGGTGCATGCATGAGACAGACAGACATACATTCATACATACATACATACAGACAGACAGACAGACACACACACACACAGAAAGAATGTAAAGCATAAAATGCTTGGATTACCAGCATGAGCCACTATGCCCGGCTTAATTTTTTATTTTATTTTTATATTATGTGCATTGGTGTTTTGCCATAGGTGTCAGGTCCCCTGGAACTAGAATTACAGACAGTTATGAACTGTCATGTGGGTGCTGGGAATTGAATCTAGGTCCTCTGGAAGAGTAGTGCTCTTAATCGCTGAGCCATCTCTCCAGCCCTACCTGGCTTAATTTTTAATGGTTAAAAAAAAATAAAAATCAAAGCCGGGCGTTAGTGACACATGCCGTTAATCCCAGCACTTGGCAGGAGGATCTCTGTGAGTTTGAGGCCAGCCTGGTCTACAGAGTGAGTTCCAGGACAGTCTTCAAAACAATACAGAGAAACCTTGTCTCGAAAAAACAAAATCAAAATTAAGCCGGGTGGTGGTAACACATGTCTTTAATCCCAGCACTCAGGAGGCAGAGGCAGGAGGATCTCTGAGAGTTCGAGACCAGCCTGGTCTACAAGAGCTAGTTCCAGGACAGTCTCCAAAGCCACAGAGAAACCCTGTCTCCAAAAACCAAAACCAAACCAAAACAAAACAAAAACAAAATTAGAAAAGTTTAGAGAAGTTTACATGTAGGCTATATTATATATGCTAAACACACATATGTGTATTACATATATAAACAGAAAGATACTGCATATAGATGTATTTTTTTGAGACTGAAACTTAGCATCTAGTCAATGTCAACCTGCCTCAGCCTTCTACATGCTGGGGTTATAGATGTGCATCACTATGTTTGGTTTCTAGAAGTATTTCAACACAATCTAATACTGAGTACTCTACTCTAAAGTGTCTTTTGGGGTTTTGAGACATGGTCACAGAGTAGTCCAGGTTATTCTGGAAGTCAACATATAGCCCAGGGTGACCTTGAACTCCAGATCCTTTGACCTTCCTCTTTTCCAAGTGCTAAGATTACAGGTTTGCTCTACCATGCCAGACTCTACCTTAAACTATTAACAGTGAATAGAACAAACATGGAGGGAAAAAGCAATATTCACACTTATATTTGGCCAAATAATTCTATTTCAAAACAGAACAACCAGAATAGTTACATATATTGACCTACCTACAGAGAGAATCTCTGGCCTCCAGGTTGGGGCTTATATTATATATGCTCACACATGTGTAACATGCATATATTATATATAAATAAACTGCATATAGATGTACTTTGAGACAGAAAGTTAGCATGTAGCCAATGTCACCTGTTATATTCTAGAGCACTTACTACATTCTACCATAAAACCTAGAATCTTTTTAAAAAACTTTTATTCTTTTCTCATATATTATTTCCCAAGCTGTTTTTCCTCCCTCCACTTCCCTCCCCACCTACCTTCTTCCCAGATCAATTCCTTGTCTATTTCCCAAAAAAAGAGAGGAGGTCTTCCAGGGATATCCACTGAACATGGCCTAACAAGATACAATTAAGACTGGGAACAAACCCTCATTGTCCTGGCTGGACACAGCAAGCCAGAGGAAGCAAAGGGTCCCGAGTGCATCCAGTAGAGTTGGAGACAGCCCCCACTCCCATTTTTGGGAGTCTCACAAGAACACCAATCTACACAACCATAAGGCATATGCAGAGGACCTAGTTCAGACCCATACATGGTCTGTGGTTGTTGCTTCAGTTTCTGGGAGCCCCTATGAGCCCTGTGGGAAAATTGCATGCTATATAAAACAAGAGCATGATTTTAATAGTTGACTGAAGAACTATACCTACTTCTGTATTTGACTCTGCTGTGTTCATATTTAATTTTGTCATTTGTAAAATAGGAGTGTCAAGATATATTTTTTTCTAGATTAGAAGCATAGATAATTCACTAAACCAAACAGAAGCACCTTCACTAAGTGGATGTTCAATAGTGTTATTTTCCTTTGTCAACATTATGTTAATCTTAAACACTTGGTCTATGTGGGTAAAAGTTCTCTGTAAACAAATAGCTCTGGTTCTTCGGGGTTAATCTATACCAAGGAGTCAACAAGCTGAAAGGATGGCTCACTGTTTTGCTTTTCCTGGGATAATGATGATTATTATTATAATTTTTACTAAAAGTTGAACTCGGGCCTTATACATGCTAGGCAAGTGTTCTTCTGAGCTATGTCCACCCCAGGACCTTTGATTCACATCTTGAACCTATTAAAGATCACTGCCAGTTTTACAGCTTTTGGTGTGTGTCAGACCACTAACTATTGGTAGCTTTGCAGACCTGAGCTTCTACAGAGCCAAAGTCCAGTGATCCCTTGCCTTGGAAAACCAGATTACTTCCAGGGGCTGATGGACATTCTATTCAAGTTGTCTAAGTGGTTAACCCTCTGGACTTTCAATTGATGGAAATGGATCAAAGAACAAAACCAACATTTTTGGAGATGGAGTACACGGGTATGACCAACACATTTCTTCAAAATTGATGGCATGTCCATCTGGAGTCCTACTTGCTACAGGCACATAGGGAAGAAGCAAGATCGAGAAACAGGAAACAAGATTCCAGGGACTAGAACAGCTTTGATTTCCTACTGCAGCTCCCTTAGGCACAGGGAAAGAAAACAGGTTGTAATTAAAGGTGCATTCCAACCCCCACCCCCAAATGCATGCCCCAGGGACAGGAGGGAGCGGTTACTGGAGAGGAGGAACTGCAATGATAGCAGTCAGGCTAAAACTGCCCTAACTTGTTGTGTGTAGTAATTACATATCTACAGATCATCTTAGTATTATATTCTCCTAGCCACACCCTTCTCTAATTTTTCAAGTTTCTACCAACCTGAGTACTTTTATTCAAAGTCATGATCTCCTTTCTTTGCATACAATGTCACAAAGAACAATGACAAAACTGGCCCAAAATGGTAGACACCTGTAATCCTAGCACTTGGATGATGAGGCAGGAAGACTGCCCTAGGCAAGGTAGACAACAGAGTAAAGTTCAAGACCAGCCTGATAACATAATGAGACCTGTCTCAAATATAAAAAAACTGACTCTTGAGCAGGGGAATTTATTGTCTTTTAGCACCTCCCCCACCCCAGACAAACACAAACCCAAAAGTTAAAAGAAAACTCTAACTCTAACAACTACATCCAACACTTTCACAAGTAGATGTGTCTTTGTCAAGGAGCAGATCAAAAGGTCGTGCTGTGCGCTCTGAAGAGTGCCCTCAGACAGCACAGAGGGGAAGCCTGCTTGCACTTAAAAGGAGAGGAGGCTAAGTTAAGTCCAAAACCTTGCACTGAGGAACAGTGCTGAGTGCTGGTGCAGATCAGAGACTCAGCCTTTCACTGCAAACATGATCAAGGGTGCTGTGGTTTTGATGACATTCACTTGATAAGGGAGAACTTGTAGTTTCATAGAAAATCGGAAATGTTTGTAGAAACAGGTTCACAGCTATGAAACAGCCATTGGGCAAGGTGTTAAAAATGGAATCTTGAATTTAAAATTCAACATAAACCTAGGAACTCATTCCTCAAAAGGACTTCAGCAGTATCCAGAAGGTTGAAAATAATGCATATAAAAGTAACCAAATAAACTAAACAAGCCTGTTAGAATAATGCACAGCCCATTACTCCTTTTAGATGAATAAGGAGGACTTGAGGTAACCTAAGAGATCATGTTACATCAACATTTCTAAAATCTCCTCACACAGGTCATGTACTCAGATTTGGGTTTTTCAAAATTCTTTTTAAAACCCAAAATCCATCCTCCATCATAGGTATCTTACCACTTGAGCGAATGTTGATGAAAGGGTAGTTGGGCATCACCAGTTTGTTGAAGTTAAACTTGTAAGTAAACCTTTTCCCTTTTGTTTTGTGAAGGATCCTCTTGTTGTAATAGTATCTACGAAAAGAAGAAGACATGGTGTAGCACTTGCTATACTTCGGTAATTACTAAGATCAATTCTGGCTCTAAGCATTGCTTACAAAAGCCTTCACCATTCCTTTGTAGTCTGACCCTGGAGTTAGGGCTTCGTGACCTAAGAGCTCACTTTTCTCATCCAGTTTAAACTCAGCTGAGGTCCTTGACTGGAGCTTGACACAGACATTCTTGTTTTATGATCCCAAACACCTTCCTCAGTTCTAACCACTCACCTCATTTCTCTATAGTTTCAATCTATGATCCACTTCCTTCCTGCTCCACTCAAATAACTGTCTAGTTTCTTTCCTCTTGCCCTGGTTGGGTCAGACAAGTCTGGGAGAGCTCATGGGGTTCAGGAGCCAAAGTGCAAGGACTAAACAGAAGAATGGAAACCTGTTTTATGGTAGGAGTGAAACAATAGCATGACCGGGAAAAGGCAGCCACCCTGGCCAGCTTCACCTTTAACGTGGCATGAGTAGGATGTGGGAGGCCCCAGCCGCACTGCACAGACTTTACACTCAGGCTACTGAGAATGAAGAAAGAAAGACAACTTCTGTCTTTCTGGAAGCTCTGGCCTGGCTTCTATTAAGTAGCATATGTCATAAACTGCCTGCTGGCCCCCTGAGGACTAAAGAGTTATAATAAAACTTAAAAACTGACAGAGGAGAGGGAATGAGATCATTATAGGGATCACTCTTTGGATGTCATAGCAATCTATGGACTGAATGGAGACTGCAGGCATATGGCGTGTGAGCGCCTGGGTTCAGTGGCACTCAGCAAGCCTCCCTTCTGTACTCATTATGCCTTCCCCACTTCTAGGAGAGCCGGAAGAAGAGAAATGATAGGAATTTCCCAATAGGGAAGTCTACACTAACCTTGTGGATTATAAGTGAGCCCAATCCATGTTTCACCACATGCTCTAACCCACTACACAGCAGAACCAGCTGTCAGGAGCCAGTGCCAGCCACACTGAAATCCCCTCCTACACCTTCTCACCTCTGGTGCCACTCAGATTCAACACCTCTCCGACTCACACTTTTAAGACGTGCAGTCTTTCGTCACCTGATACCTTTTTAGATAGCATCCACAAAACTGCATACTTTCCCCCCAACTTTCTTAATACCACACATGTGGGGGATCCTTCCCTCACCTGAGGGCCCGGCTCAGCTTGTCATAGTTCATCTGTGGTTTGCACTTCCTGCGGCCCCAGAGGCGAGCCACTTCGTCTGGATCCTTGATGACAAACTCCCCGTACTCTCCCTGCTGCCAGGCGATGACATGGCGGAACTCGTCCTTCTGCAGCAGCTCCAGGATGAAGTGCCACAGCTGGATCTGCCGGGAGCCCGGCGACGACTCCGTTTTGTAGGCCCAGTCGGGAAACTGATACCCTTAAATGTAAAAAGGGCGAGATCAAAGCGGTTAGGAGTTAGGTACAAACACGAAGTGCCCTCACCTCCACATCCCATGGCTCACAATCTCTAGAGCCCTTTGAAAACACACCCTTCCAGTCAGCTAACCATGAAGAGGAGCAGACAGACAAATTACCCACCCTTGTGGCAGTCAGTGACTCTAATAAAAGTTGGGCAGTGGTACAGACTTGCTAATCTATCACCTTTTCATAGATTACTAAATAACAAAGAAGCAAGATAAACTAATATTTTAGGAAGAAATATTTAAGGCAGAAAACACCTTAACCCTAGGGTGGAGTTATTTTTCTAACAGAAAAAGAGATATTAAAACTTGCAATAAAGGTGTGTGGGCCACACAAGTTAAATATCTACTCATAGGAAGCATGCCTACAACCACTCAACCAAGATCTACACAATCACGAGGCTGTCAGCAGTGGTCTAGCATTTGCCACCTAAGCCCAAATGGGAACAGGAACACTAAGGGACAGGAACACTAAGGGACACTCCACATCCATCAGAGAGGATTAGCTTCTGCTCACCTCCACCTCCTTCTGGCTTTTCCACGATGCTACAGCCTGCTTTCATTTTCGCCCTCCTGCTGAGTGAAACAATCCCACAATTATTTTGATGCTATGAATTATCTAACTAAGGTTCTTTTTTTGGTACAGCTTTCCCCCAAACCTTCTTCTTTTTTCGTCTTTACTTTTCTTCCCCCAAAGCCTTTTGTCTTTCAAGCCTGTCACCTCTAAACTACTAATCCTCAAGTCATCAAATGATGGTCCTCAGGTCATCAGCTTCAAAAGCCATAATTATCGCTCACCTGACTTTAGCCGCACGTGTAAACACTGTCCTCGATATTTGCTTTCTTCCTTCCGACCAGCCCTCCAACAAAAAAAAGGGGACAGCGAAACAAGCCCAAAAAGGCAGCAAAAACAAGCCAGACAGTTTTTCTATTACTAAGCAAGCCCATATGCTAAGGCTCACAACCCTGAGTTCACCCAGATTTACCAATTTAAAGACTGAAAAAATCCAAACCCTACTCAAGAAGGAACTTCTGATTCTACTTACGGGGTTATGTGAGATGGAAAACATTGTCTTCCAGTCACAAACTGCACTCACCCTCAAAAAAATATTGAGATACAGAAAGTAGTAAATATATTGTGTGTACGGCCACTCTGTACAAGAAACAGCACTTTCCTAGAATTCCATGGAAAAAACGTAATGGCAAATAAAATATATGGGAAATAAAAAGGATAAGGTAGGTACTCGGGATTGCCTGGCCAGTGGTGGAAGGCATCTTGCTAGGATCTGAATTCATTCCATGCACATTTATATTTCTCAATAAATTTCCTGTTCCTAGCAGCAGACGGCTTTGTGTCAATCCTTCAGCAAGGAGGAGAGCCGGGTGAAATTGGCAGAGAATGACGGAGGAAGCGAACAGACTTACTCTTACCACTCCGCAAGGGTAGACGACAGGCCCTCAGCACCGACCAGAGCAGGTCTGGAGCAAGCGCAGGTGCTTCAGAGGCCCCAGGGTGGGGTGGGACAAATTCCTAATCTTGGAAATTTCACCTAACCTAGAATTCCTCTAGATGCTCTGCATTTTCCTTCCCGACATACACATTAAGGAGAACAGTAAGTTTCCTTCCACAAGAACAGTAGGGACCACGGAGCTGACAAATGGATCAAGGAAGAAGGCAACAGACAAGACACTGCACACACAGGATATACACAGTAATACGGCACCGGGGCTGGGCACCAGCTTCCTCTCCCGTTTCCGTGATGAGGAGGGAGAAGAAAACACCGATTTCCCCAAGGCTCCGGGAAGCTGTCCGGGACTAACTCCTCGACTACGCTGTCGGCTCGCAGGCCCTTTTCCCTGCTCGGGAACACCCTTCAGCCTGGCTGCTGTGGGCTCGCGCTGGGCGACGCCCGAGCCGGATGCCCTCTCGATCCTCCGGCCCCCGACATGCCCACCAAGCCCCTCGGAGCCCGCAGGCGCGTCTGCAGGTGTTCGTGACTGCCGAGGGCGCTCGGTCACCCGCCCGGCCTGCGGCGGGTCTCGCCGCTCCCGCCCGTCCGCAGCGGCTCCTACGGCCGCCCGCACCCGTGTCCCTTCAGTCCTGCCCGCGATGGCCGCGACCGCCGACGCCGGCCTCACCTCTCCGGCGCCGTCCGTCTCTCCTCGGGCTCCTCCGCGGCAGCTCGGGCTCCTCCTCATCCACCCAGCAGGAAGTGACTCCGCGGCTGCTTTCGTCACTTCCCCCCCAGGCGGGTGGGAGGGGGCGGTGTCCCAAGCGGACGCCGCTTCCGTCCGTCAGGTGCCGGTGCCCCTCCGTGGCTCGGAGGTCCTGGCCGGGGGCCTCTCGTGGGAGGGGGCGCTGCCGTGCTGACGGGAGCCCAGGAGCTTCTGAAGCACGTGCGGCGTTGGCCTTTCCTCCCTGGGCTGCGTTTCCATTTTAGCCCGATCTGCCCCGTCCAAGTATTGTAAAGTGCACGTCTTTGCCACTCAGCAGCCCCCTCCCCCCGCCCCGCGCTTTGCCTTTTGTTCCTGATTAGGCAATTACAAATTTGTCCGAAACAAACTTTGTTCAAGAGTTAGTGATAAGGGATCTGAATTCAGTTTCCGTAATTCCAAATGGTTCCCGGCCCTCGTTTCGCTCCAGAGGCAGAGATGGGATCAGTAAAGGTTAAGTGTAGGAGAGTGAGGTGGTGAAAAGTGGGGAGGCGAAGATGACGGACGCTATGGGAGACCAGGCTTCATCAAATGCATAGCACCAGCATACAGATTTTCCCTCCTGTGGACGACATGGAACGTGGAAACATTACCATTAGCTGTTAAAAGGATTGGCTTCTAGTTTTGGACATGCCTTTGAGCACCTCCCCAGGCTAGCCAATGACTTTGTAACTGTCCTGTGCTGTGCTGGGATTATAGAAATGTACCACCGCATCTGGCTTTTTGTTTGTCTGGAGACAGGGCTACTTACTACATCACCTCAGTTTGCCTTGGAACACACTATGCAGACCAGGCTGGCCTCAAACTCACAGGGATATGCTTGCCTCTGCCTCCCAAACGCTGGGATTAAAGGCGTGCACCACTACACGAGGCTAACCACTACTTGTTCTTGAGTCACTGATAAGTTCACTACTAAGTATGGCCTAAAATTGCCTGACCAGTTTAAAAAAGAAAGAATAATAGTGTTGGTGAGGTCAAGTTTTCCCCACCCCTTCTAGAGAAAGTCTTACAATGAAAGTACAATGAACACGATTTAAATGCTGCTAAGAGGATTGCCAATATGAGCACTTTGAGTGTAAAATTGCTTTATAATGGTCTCCATCTTCTGTACAGTCTAGAAATTGTCTTCTATGTTAGGTTGAACAGAGCACAATGCTAAGGTTTAGCTAAGTAAGTGGTTCTAAAACTGTGGGTTGTGACCCCTTTGAAAACTTCTATCTCAAAAATATTTACATTGTGACTCATAACAGCAGCAAAACTACAGTTATAAATTAGCAACGAAAACAACTTTATGGCTGGGGTCAGCACGATGTGTTAAAGGGTTGCAGAAGTTAGAAAGGTTGAGAACCACTGAGGACTGAACATTGTATTTCAGTCCTCTTGCCTTCAGCTATTGGCTTTGTTACCTTGGTTAAGTACTCACTGTCAGTTCCTCATCTGTTTGAACATGGTGCTTTATGAAGTATTCTTGTGCACAACTGTAGATATCTTCTTGTGTAGAGGATATTATAGGTATTTCATTGTTAACATTTGATGTGTTAACACAGTGTAGGTGACTTAGGACAGAGAAGGGTACGGTGTAAATACAGCATATGGATAGATGGTGACAAAGTGATTTTGAGACTGATAAGAATCCTCAAGTCTTCATGCCATTCCTGCAAATCTTAGTCAGTGCTAACTCAGAAACCAGGGTGATCAGAATGAGTGGTTTCTTCAGAAACTCTGGGGTTGCCAACCTGTAGCTCATGGTTTAGATGGGCGTGGTTAGAGCCAGCACTAACGAAGAGCCAATAGCCACTTTCTGTAGACATTTTTACTCACTCCTCTAGACTAATGATTTTTCTGTGGCTATTTCGCTGACTAACTGGGGGTCACAGAGGATGCGCTAACGCAATTTACAGGTCTTAGTACTTAACTTGAGTCTGAATTGATCTTGAGAAATGTTTGTACCATGGCAGATCTGAACAGAGTTCTCATTCTGACAATCTAGTTAATCACCTGCCTGAAGTTCAGCTGATGAAGTTAGCTTTGATAAAGCTAACTGGACAATGTGAGGGGCTGGGCGAGCCATTTGTGCACTGGGGAACTTAACTACGGTGATGGAATCTGGGAGGGGCGGGGTGAGGAAGATTGGCACTGCCCAGTTACCTATCTGCCATAGTCACCACGACATGGCTGCCTTCAGCATTTGCTGCAAACAGGCTTTTACAAGTTGAAGATTCTTTGAGCTCTTGAAATGAGGAGAGCTTGTACCTTCTACAAGTACGGGTGTGGAAACACTTAGATATAGCCTAGTAGTCAAGCTATCTTGTAATCACTCTTGAATTTCCAGTTGCTCAAAGCAACTTTGACACTGCCTTCCTCCCCCTCCCCACCCATATCTGTCATTGTCCCACATCTAGGATAAGGTTCAGTTCTAAGTCATGTACTCTCAAAATTCCATTCCTACCGAGATACAGCTACTCTCTGATTGCTTAATTAAAAAAAAAAAGGAGTTGGGTATAATGGCACATGCCTGTCATTCCAGCACTGGGGATGTAGAGGAAGAGCAGGAGTTTAAAGCCAGCATCTGGATGACCTGGGCTACCTTGTCTCAAAAAAAAAAAAAAAAAAAAAAAGACGGAAAGAAAGAAACAAACAAAACAAAGAGAAATTCCCCTAAAATATATTTTTCTTCTAACACCCCTCCTGGATTAGTCTCCCTTCCATACTTTCTGCTTCATTACTTAATTGTTCCCATTTTCATTTATGCACTTATAGGTTTCCACACCCTAAACCTACCTGGACATGTGAATGATAAAATCCTTGCCTGCCTACTCTTGCAGTAGGTGACTGTTTATATCCTACTGACTGTGTAATGGACATATCTATTCTTCCTAGAGTGTTTGTCTTAGGTTACGGCTCCCACAGAGGCTCTGTTCCTTCACTAGGAGTGCCCGATGATGCCCATCCTTCTCTGTCATCACAGGTGGAGGTGCTGGCACGTGTGGCTTTGCCCACTTGGAGAAGGCAGGGAGCCTCTCTCCTCCATAACATGTTCTCACTGAACTTGGATTTCAAAAACCTGGGTTCCAGTCCCTGTTCCGTGTTTGCTAACTGTTCTCTGACTAGACATTATTAGCTTACCTTAGTTTCCACCTCCTGCTAGTAGAGGAGACACTGTTGATGTTCTTGGTGAGGCCAGAGAAACAGCATTTCTAAACCTAGCTTCATGATTACTTCTGCTGCTACACTACTTTTGGAATCAAGAGCTCAACCTTGACAACAGTTACCATGTAATTTACAAATTTTGAGTAGATTCAGTGTTTTAAACCCGTTTCAAATCTAATAATTAAAACTAGTTCCCAGAATTTAGGCTCTTGGGTTTCTTCCTTAAGTGCTATTTTCTGAGGCCTAGCCTCAAGTGATACATGTTAACCACTCTCTGTTTCAGTTTCCCCATGAAGTGATCATGCTCAGGGGTCGGGGGACTGGGATGCACTAAGTTGGTAGAGTGCTTGCCTAGAATATCTCGTATACACAGAACTCCAGGTTGGATTCCCAGCACCATATAAGCAAGTGTTCAGCTCATGTTTATAATCCCAGCACTTGGGAAGTAGAAGTAGGAGATCAAGAGCCCCAAATCTTCCTCTGTGTGCTGAATTTGAGACCAGCCCAGAGTACACAAAATTCTGAGAAAATGGATAAACTCCAGGAAGAAAAGAAATACTAAAACATTTTTGTTATTCATGAAATCAAAGGCAGAAAGACTGATGTGAAATTGGTGTGTTTATACCTGTAGTACCTTGGTTTACTCATCAGTGAAGTGAAGATTAATTATAAAATAAACTTGGACTAAATATTATTTGCATTTTAGCACATTGAACTAGAGTAGCTTGTAAAGTCTTCTGTTGGTTTGTTTTTCCCATCAACCTAAGGTCATTGTAAGGATAGAGGAATTAATGTCGGTAACATGATTGGGGATCCCCAGATAAAAGGTTAAGTGGGTCCAAAGCAGAAGTAACTTTGCTCAAAGTTACAGCTAAGCCAGAAGGAGCAGAGAGCTTGGCTATTTATTTGTAATGACTTGGGGACTCAAGGACTCTCCGGGATTCTACATCCATTGTAGTCCACAAATGCCCCTGTGTCTCATTTCCCCTTTTTATGTCTTAGTTCCCGTTCAGGTCAGCATGGTGGAGAGGGTGGTGAGACACCATGAGGAGCCGAATGGGAGAACAGGATCTACAGGAGGAAATGACCACTCAGGCTACTTTGGCTTTGTTTTATTCCTGGCAGCTCAGGAGAAAGATTCCCCTGCCCGAACGTTTGATTGTCAGCCTGTGTATTTATCAGGCTAGCTTCTTCCAGGAAACCCATGGGAGTTAATGGGAGCAGAGGGCTAGCTTCTGATTGGAACCCACTTATATTGTGTTCTCTAAAACCTATCATTTGTTCCCCACTCTTACAATGCCCCAAACCCTGACCTGCTCACTACATGAACTTTTAAACTTTATATTTATTCACTGTTCATATCTGGCTCTCATTCCCTTGTTTTTATTACTATCAATGTCACTTGCCATCTGGAGAGGGCAGAAGCTGTGTTTATCTCTTTCTCCTGTATAACAGCCTATAAAATGATAGCCACTGCAATAGAGACATGAGGTCATAGTCTAGTAAACACTAGCAATGCTCATTTGGAGCTTGTCACAAGTGAGGCCTCCCATGAAGTTAATTAAAGGCCATTGCTTTCATGCTGTAGGAGAGCTTTGCTGTAAGATTGTCCATGAGCCTGGTGGTGGCACACGCTGTTAATCCCAGCACTCGGGAGGCAGAGGCAGGTGGATCTCTGATTCAAGGCCAGCCTGGCCTACAAAGTGAGTTCCAGGACAACTAAGGCAGTTACACAGAGGAACCCAGTCTTGCAAAACAACAAAACAA